CTGGCAATGATGAAGCTTTCTGAAACAGCAAGATGTCATATACAGCTGCAGGAAACCACTGTGTGGAACCATGGAGGTGTGTCAGCTGGTGGCTGCCACTTTGATATCAATGACACCACATCTCTTGTCAGCTGCACAGGACTGCAGCTGTGCTCTGGCTAAGCAGAAAAACACCACCCTTTGAAGTACAAGCCACAGCAAGCAGCTGAGTAGTTCTTTCTTAATTCAAAAAAACAGCTGAGACCTGAACAGCTTGAGAAAGACGTGGGCATGAAAAGCCTGGGTTCGACCGTACTCTACCCTCTGCTTGCTGCTGTTCTGTACTATAAATACTTGGCCCAAACTTCATTTCTGGCTCCAGGATGAACAAGCTTGCTTTCTTTTCTGCAGCTGGCTGTGCCAATAAAAGTGGGAACATCAGTCCTGAGTGCACAGCAGGCATCAGTGGATCCAATCAGGGAGTTAGTTGCCAAATGACTTCTGTCTGCTCATTCACAACAGATTTCTTTCTACTGTATGAACTTATTTGACAGAGTGACCAGTCACTAGGGTTTCTCTCAACAGGCTGCTTGCCCAGCTTTTATCCATTTGCCTGATGTCTCAATTCCACCTGCCTTCAGCTCCTCACAGAGTAGTCAAATGAACAGAAGGATAACAATGTCTGACTATGTCTGAATTCCTTCAGTGATGGGATTACAGGGCCACAAGAGTCCTGCTCCCTTTGGCCCTCCATTAAGAGGGCCTGAAGCAAGCATGCACTCCCAGAATATCTTTGTGGAGCTCAGATGGGCTGGTCCTCTCACAGTAAAACTTGTGGCACCATGAGAAAAACCTTAAAGGAGCAGTTGAAGACACCAAAATCATCCAATTAAAACAGGTTTTATTATGAAATGACAGAGAAAAATCATATTCAAACAAAAAAAGGACACCTCTAGTCTGTATAATTAGTAAAATTCAGTTAAGTAGCTTACACTTAGTCACAATGAAAATTAAACAACTTACGTTTCTAAGAGAAAGCTTCTGTCTCTCTTTGACTGTCAACAGTTTTAATATCCCAGGAACATGTTTCCCTTCCTGACCCTGCCTACTCTTTTATCTTCCTTTAATAATTACAGTATCCTTTCTATGTTTCAGTCACTTGCTCCTGTGCCATTAACTTTTTGATGAATGGAGGGATGTAGCCTATTTGCCTTTAGTTTATTGGAAGATGCACACACGCTATAGTAACTCCGCAGCTCACATTTGCATCTTTCACCTCCATTCTCTGACTGTTGTAATAAAAGAAGTCAACAGTGAAATCAGTTCCTTTCAGCTACCTACTGTCATAGGATATATTTCCTATAATCACATTTACCATCCATTCTATTTCCTATGACATAAATTATTGAAAATTCATAAACATCTGTCACATCTGTCCCCTCTCAATGCTCACAGGACCCAATCCCATGGGACAGCAGTGTAGAGCTAGCTATACCACCTTCATGCTCCTTTGTGATTCCCTTACTGCAGGGCAATCCCTTTCTGGCCTTTTAATTTCTGTATGTATAAACCATGTTGATTTACTGGAGCCCTAAATCAATTAGATTTGGTGCACAAGAAATGTTATTTTTGAAGAGGTTTTTGTTTCTGATCAAGCTTTATGATGCTATCAGGTTTCTGAAGAGCAACTTCACAGAACAGCCTCTTCATCACTAGATATTGGATTCTGTTTATAAATGTCCTAGTGCTAAAAGGTTCACTTTTGCAAGTTCAGAATTTAAACTGCAGTGAGAAACATATGTGAAGGTCATTATAATGGTTGTCAAACACCTTACCAGGGCTAAAGAGGACTATAGCTTTAAGGTATGCATACTCATATCCATCAATATCAAGCTTGGCCATGCTGTTACAGAACTCCTGAAGTTTCCAGATGTGTTCCATGACTTGTTTTATTCTGTCTCCAGAAAGCTTATCTAGAAATAGACATTACATGCATTCTTAAGAGAGCTCAAATGCATTTGAATCATTAAACAAACCCACATCCATGCCCCTATTGTAACAGATCACAAGAAATATGAAACTACTCTAATTGCACTACACTTTTTTAACCACATACAAGTATTTTGTGGATAACTGATGCCTGTGGAAGTAAGCATTCAGTAAGCCAGAATCAAGTATACTAGTGGCAAACAGAAGGGAAGCTTGGTCACATAGTTCTGCCAATACATTCTGACCTTCAACATCTTTGTTAGTCTGGTGATGGACCTGTCCTGAGCAGAGACAAAATAAACAGTGATTTGTGTTGGAAGAAGGATAAATTTGTGGAAGCCTTGGTGCACACTACCATTTTTTTTAAATATGTGACTCAATCAGGATCTTGCTGATTCTAGTAGTGAAAGGCCAGTGTAATAACGACTGTGTCACTTTTCCCATTATCTCTGCCTTTCAAAATAAATGGTGGAAAATTAACTTAGTTATACACAGGTCAATCCCTCTGCTTTTGAGATTATGGCATCCTTTGTATTGATGGCCTTTCTTTGTCAAAATGTTGATTCAAAAAGTCCTACACCATTACAAATTTTCTGAAGTTCAACTAAGCTTTAGTTGAGCCCTAAGAGAAGGGAAGAAAGGACTACTACTTTGGTAAGAAAATAAAAACCTACCCTTTTTTTTTGTCTTACTGCATATTTGTGGACTGGTCAAAGCAATATAAAAGTCAGAGCCATGGAATTACATTACAAATCTCAAGACCCATAATTACCATAAATGCACTTCAGAGATAAAATCAGATCAAGACATCCACACATACACACACTCTTTAGAAAGTGATCATGCTTGAGATACTAATGATTAAAGGCACATAACAGTTCAGAAAATGGAAAGACAGTGACCTACATGTGAAAAGCAGACAAATACAGGGGGATCCAGTGGAGATGACAGTCATATTAACCTCCCTATTACTAACAAAGACTTTAAAGTTAAAAATAAGAGGTATGCTCCTTAAATGTAGCATGTATAAAACCACAGAGAATTAGAAGAGATCTTACCTGGAATATGGATAGGTTAAAGACGATGTTCAGTAGGCTACCCTGCAAAATGTAAAATTCTGACCATAGTGAAGTCAGTAAATTGGAACATAATTTATAAATATAATAAGTAACTGAAAAATACATTTTAAAATTGATAAAAGGAAGTCTAACATGTGGAATCCATTGACAGAAAACATGGAGACAAAGTGAAATATTATTTAAAAAATGCACATGTGTATGTATATAATAAGAAAATCCAGCTACATTATATTACAAAGAATACAGGCCTGTGCGCTATAGGGTGTATAGCAT